TGTATTAGTTTGTATGCATGTGTCTTCCATACTATTTGTGACTACTTTGAAAGCAAGGAACCATGTCAGATTCACCTTTGCTCTTTGGGGCTTTGCACATGTGTTCCCTTGTTTGAATGGTGAGAATAAAATATTCTCTCATGTAATTTGCAAGACATGAGAAATAATATTCAAAATGTTAATGATGGTATGTCATTAATTCTGAATCTTATTTGGTTTTGAATTTCATTTTAATCATGCCATTGTGCTTCTGCTTCTCCCTAGACCAGTATTAAAGAGGGACAGCTGTTGAAGCAAACCAGTTCTTTCCAAAGGTGGAAAAAGCGATACTTCAAACTTCGAGGTCGTACACTTTATTATGCAAAGGACTCAAAGGTAATTTGAGAGAACACTAGTTGCAAGCACTGGAGGGCTGTAGATGGAATTGAAATTTTGGTTCCACAAGCTGTTTTTGTTTGGGGGCTCACTATAGCATCACTGCTTTTATATGAATTCTGTAAAAATGTGATCCATCTTGGACCAAATCCCATAGGAGTCTATTTGAGTCAATTTCATGCCATGTTCCCTAAGGACAATCCTATAGGAAGTGTTGTTTGCTTTCTTTCCTTTTTTTTTTTTTCTTCCAATTAAGATGGAAAGTTGAAGGTAACTTTATTAGAGATAATAAACTCAAAATTTGGGTTCCCCCTTTCTTGCTACTTTTTACCTCATAAATCTTTTCATGAACATGAAAGAGAGAATTGCTATCATTGCTAAGAATTCATACTCTGGATTCAGGCAAGAGTTCATATTCCAATTCTAGCACATTCCAGTGGAGTGTCTGTGGACAGTGTGTGTTGTTGAGAGGAAGCTTAAATGAAATAATGTACATGAAATGCTTACACAGTACCTGGCACAAAGCAATCACTCAATTATGTTAGCAGTTGGAAATAAAAATCATAGTGAAATAAAAATCAAGGCTTAAAATAATTTTTATATAACAGTTGAATGAAATAAGAATGATGTTGCTTTGGAAGAAAAAAAATGTAATGGCAAACCTCCACTTAAAACTAATATTTTGCCATTCCTTCAAAAATCAGCATTAAGGTGGGTGCCCCCAGCCGGCACTGGAGCCCCTCCAAAATGGCCCCCTGCCCTGTCACACTTGATGGACAGGCCAACACTGGTGTCCCCTCAAAGTGGCTCCCACCCCGGGGGTTGGCCTCGCACACCAGAGCAGACACAACAGTTGCGACTGGGCTTTGCAGCCAGCCATACTAGGTCCAGCCCTGCATACGAGCATATCCTTAGCAAGTGCGGCCCAAACACAACAGGAGGACACATGCAGCCCACAAAGGGAACATTCTTAGAACATCCGTCTCCGATAACCAGGGGAGACCAAGCTATTGGGCCCCACAGGATACCTTATACACAAAACCACTCTTTCAAGACTGGGAGACATAACTGATCTATCTAATATATGTAAACAAACACAGAAAGTTAGACAAAATGAAGAAACAAAGGAATATGTTCCAAATGGAAGGACAAGACAAACCCTCAGAAATAGACTGAATGAAATGGAGATAAGCAACCTTCCAGATAAGGAGTTCAAAGTAATGGTCATAAAGATGCACACTGAACTCAGGAGAAGAATAGAACAGTGAGAATTTCAACAAAGAGAAACCAAAAGAATAGAATAATGGAAATTAAAAATGCACTAGAGGAAACCAACAGCAGATTAGATGATGCAGAAGAAAGGACCAGTGATCAAGAAGACAATTAAGTGGAAATCACCCAATTAGAACAGCAAAAAGGAAAAAGAAACAAAAAAAATGGAGCTAGTTTAAGGGACCTCTTAGGCAACATCAAATGTACTAACATTCACATTACAGGGGTCCTAGAAGGGGAAGAGAGAATGAAAAGGACAGAAAACCAATTTCAAGAAACAATGACTAAAAACTTTTCTAACCTGGAGAAGGATACAGACATCCAGATTCAGGAATCACAGAGAAACCCAAACAAAATGGAAAAGAGATTTCATGCAAATAGAAATGAAAAGAAACCTAGGGTAGCAATACTTATATCAGACAAAATAGTTGATTTTTTTTTAAGGAAAAAGCATTTCAATTTTATTATTAGTCAAAGAAATGCAAATTAAACAATAATAAAATGTCAGTCTACCCCTTTCATATTGCCAAGGGACTGAAAACATCTTAAGACAAAATAGACTTTAAAACAAGGTGAACCCAAAGAGACCCACACCAAGACACATTATAATTGAAATGCCAAAACGTTAAGAGAAAGAGAGAATCTAAATACAGCAAGAGAAAAACTAGTTACATACATAGGTGCCCCCATAAGATTGTCAGCTGACTTTTCAGCATAAATTTTACAGGCCAGAAGGGTGTGGCACAACATATTCAAAGTACTGAAAGAAAAAAACTTACAACCAAGAAAACCCTACCCAGCAAGGTTATCATTAAGAATCAAAAGAGAGAGAGTTTCCCAGACAAGCAAAAGCTATAGGAGTTCATCACCACTAAACCAATCTTATAAGAAATGTTAAAAGGATTTCTTTAAACAAAAAAGAAAAAAAATTATAACTAGAAATACAAAAATTATGAAAGAAAAAATTTCACCAGTAAAGGTGAGAAAGGTAGTGGATCAACCACCTGTATAGCTAGTATGGAGGTTAAAAGGCAAAACTAGTAAAGCCATATATATCTACAATAATTGGTGAAGGAATACGCAAAATAAGATAACATCAAAAATGTAAAATGGGGAGGGTGGACTAAAACTGTAGGGCTTTTTTAGAACATGCTCAAACTTCAGCATCCACTTAAAATAGACTGCTATATACAGAGACTGTTATGTAAGAGCCTCATGGTAACCACAAACCCAAAACTGATAATAAATAACAAACAATAAAGAGAAAGGAATAGAAACATAATACTAAAGAAAGTCATCAAATCACAAGGGAAGAGAGCAAGAAAAGCAGAAAGGAACGGAGAAGAACAACAAAAATCTCCAGAAAACAATTAACAAAATGGCAATAAGTACATATCTATCAATAATTACTTTAAATGTAAATGGACTAAGTACTCCAATCAAAAAACATAGGGTGGCTGAATAGATACAAAAACAAAGCCCGTGTATATATATGCTGCCTATAAGAGACTCTCTTCAGATCTAAAGACACACACAGACTGAAAGTGAGGGAATGGAAAAGAGATTTCATGCAAATAGAAATGAAAAGAAACCTAGGGTAGCAATACTTATATCAGACAAAATAGTTGATTTTTTTTAAGGAAAAAGCATTTCAATTTTATTATTAGTCAAAGAAATGCAAATTAAACAATAATAAAATGTCAGTCTACCCCTTTCATATTGCCAAGGGACTGAAAACATCTTAAGACAAAATAGACTTTAAAACAAAGACTATAGTAAGAAACAAAGAAGGGCATTCATTACCTAATGATAAAAGGATCAATCCAACAAGAAGGTATAACACTAGTAAATAAATATACACCTAACCTAGGAGTACCTGTGTACATAAAACATATATTAACAGACATAAAGGGAGAAACTGACAGTAATACAATAATAGTAGGGGATTTTAATACCCTGTTTGCATCAATGGATAGATCATCCAGACAGAAAATCAATCAGGAAACACTGGTCTTAAACGACACATTAGAGTAGGTGGGATTTAATAATATATATAGGACACTCCACCACAAACAGCAGAATACACATTCTTTCCAAGTGCACATGGAACGTTCTCCAGGATAGATCATGTATTAGGCTACAAAACAAATCTCAATAAATTTGAAAAGATTGAAATCATATCAAGCATCTTTTCTGACTACAACGATGTGAGACTAGAAATTAACCACAAGAAAAAACTGGAAAAAATACAAACACATGGAGTCTAAACAAGAAGGTGTTTAACAGCCAATGGGTCGTTAAAAAAATCAAAGAGGATATTTAAAAAATACCTTGAGACAAATTAAAGTGGAAACACAATGTTCCAAAATCTATGGGACTCAACGAAGGCAATTTTAAGGGGAAATTTGATACAGGCCTACCTCAGGAAACAGGAAAAGTCTCAAGTAAGCAATCTAATCTTATACCTAAAGGAACTAGAAAAAAGAAGGAACAAGTCCAAAGTTAGTAGAAGGAAGGAAATATAAAGATCAGAGTGAAATTAAAGGAAACAGGGACTTTACAAAAAAAGAAAAGATCAGTGACAGTAAGAGCAGGTTCTTGAAAAGATAAATAAAAGCAATAAACCTTTATCCAGACTCATCAAGAAAAAAAGGGAGCCAAATAAATAAATAAAGTCAGAAATGAAAGAGAAGTTACAGCCAACATCACAGACAAAAGATCATAAGAAGTTACTACGAAAATTATATACCAACAAATTGGACAGCCTAGAAGAACTGGATCAATTTCTCAAAACATACAATCTTCCAAGACTGAATCACAAAGACATAGAAAATCTGAACAACCCAATTACTACTAATGAAAATAATAGGATATTAGCCATAAAAAAAAGATTGAAATCTTGCCTTTTGTGACAACATGGATGGACAAAGAGGGTATTATGCTGAGGAAATAAGTCAGAGAAAGAAAGACAAAATACCATGCATTGTCACTTATATGTGGAATCTATAAAAACAAAATGAATGAACAAACAAAACAAAAACACACTTAACAGATACAGAGAATAAATGTGTTTGCCAGAGAGGCTCTCCCCTCTGTGGGGTTGGGTGAAACAGGTAGAGGGGATTAAGAGATCCAAACGTTCAGTTATAAAATAAATAAATCATGGGGATTTAACAGAGTATAATGAATATAGTTAGTAATATTGTAATAATTTTGTATGGCGACAGATGGTTATTAGACTTATGGTGATCATTTCATGATATGTTTGAATGTCAAATTACTGTGTTGTACACTTACAACTAACAAAATATTGTATGTCAACTATACTTCAATTTAAAAAAATTAAGATTTATTGCTACTGTACCAGAAAAATAATTGGTAATTTCTATATTAAAAAGATGTGTTCCTGACATAATTAGTAGAGTTATCCAGTAGGTTAAAAAAATAAACAAACCTAATTCTCAGTTTATGCAGCTGTAGAAGTAATAACCAAGTAAGATAATTTTATTTTGCAAGTTGTTATGTACATGGTTGTTCCTAATTTGGCTCCATCCTGACTTTTCACATTTATCTCCAGACACATTGACTGTTTGCCCCATGTTTCCTATCTCCAGGATCATGTTCCCTGTAGCTCCACTTGAAGAAATCCCTGTTTTCGTTAAGACCTCCTTAAAATTGTTTCTATTCCATTACTCACGAGACAGAGTCTGTTTTCTGCTAGAGAAATTGTCTGTGACCTTCCAGAGCATTTTGTAGTATCTCCTCCTCCACTTTTACTAGTCTGTTTTACTTAAAACTAGTTGTGTCTAGATCCCTAGTTGTGTGCTAGGTTATAAATTCATTCTGTTCAGGGAACAAGTCTTATGGTCAGATTGGTTGGACTGAAGTAGACTTGCGTGGATGGAAGCTAATAGATAAGGGAAGCCCCTTTCTTCTCCATGTCTAGGAGAGCCGCGTCACACCTGCCTCACTGGAAGGACACTAAATGAGTGTGAACAATGACCAACAGACTGAAAGTGGGAAGGATATGTTTATTTAGTAGAATTTCCTAATCTCTCAATTGTACATTTTTAAAGAATTTATTTCTGTGGAGTTTTTACCACTTTAAAAAAATTGAATCCACTTTTAAGAGTATAAAAGATACATCATCCTTATAATCCCGGAGCGCATTCACCACCTCATTTAAACACATTTACAGATGATGAAAGTCACATTCAGAAAGTTCAGTGACTCACCATGATTTGAGCCAGGACCAGTCCTCATTGTGGGGTGTGTGTGAGTGTGTGAGTGTGTGTGTGTGTGTGTGTGTGTGTGTCATACACTTTGTAGGTTCCCCGTAAATGATGCTTTTAAAGAACACAGAGCATTTTGCAATGAAACAATGTGCCAAGGAGTTCTTTAAAGCCCCTTACAGTTTGGAATTTATGAGTTAGTTGAACTTTATGGTTTTACTGACAAGTATCACTAACTGAAAAGTTTTTTTTTCATGTTTCTATTCTTAATTCCTAACATAGCTTCATGGTCATGACCTGATAGTAAAAAGAAAAAAAATTGAAGGACATTAAGTTAGGTTTTCATTTAATATGTTTGTGTTCTTTTTCATTAACAGTCTCTGATATTTGATGAAGTTGACCTCTCAGATGCCAGTGTAGCTGAGGCGAGCACAAAAAATGCTAACAACAGCTTCACGGTATGGTTATATTCTGCTAACTCCCTGCTCAAAAGTTATAGGATGACCTTTCCTGAGCTTGTACAAAATGCCCTCTTCAGTTGCCAACTGTATATCATACTTGTTGGAGTTCTTCAACACACTAAACTTAATAAGTACATTGTATACTCTATCAACAAACACCCTTCATGATAATTTGGGTCCATAAACCAATATGTTAAATGTTTTTTAAAAAATATTTATATATTTTTCTCTTTAGACTTTTTAATTTTAGTGCCTTCAATTTTTCACCTCTCTTAAATGTAATACTTCAACTAATTCCATTGCTTTTGAATATTCAGAACTCTTTTTTTTTACCTTCGATCTTGAAAATAATATTTCGTTCTTTTCTTCTACTGTTACTCTAGTTGCTGTAGTTCAGGCCATCATTTCTTTTCACTTAGGTAATTCACGTGGCAGCTATTTAAGAGGTGTCCTCTATTCCAGTTATTTTTTTCCCGATTGCAAATCACGCTGCTTAAAAGACCTCACTGGCTTGCCATTGCCTGTCAAGTTGCATCTGTAATTCCATCGTAAAGTCCTATGAAGTCACGCCTTAGTGTTCTAGTGTCACTGATAAATATTTGTCCTTACACATCCCACCAGTCCAGCATTTCTGTCTGTACCTGTACTTCTTTTCATTCCTTCTGACTTCAGTGATTCCTCCTTCATCTCTAGCTGTTGAAATTCTACCGATTCTTCAAGGCTTACCTCAGATATCCCATTCTTTTTCTACTTCTTTGATTTAAAAAATATGAATTGAGTATTCATCGTGTGCCGGGCTGTTGTGCTAATAAGCACAAGATGTTCAGAGATGAAACAAATGTACATATCTGTCACTTCCTTCAAGATGTTCCCAGTATGGTTGAGTGAAGTTCATCTGGGAAACTTTTTACGGCTACGTTTTCCTTAGGTCCTCTCAAATGCATTGCTCTTGCTGGGTAGCTGCCCCCATCCATACTCTCAGTCCCTGCTCTAGGAAGCCACCACTGCTGACAGCAGTGCATTGTGTCCATCCCTTAGGCATGCCAGGGCAGGGAGGACAGACAGATAAACAAACTCAGAGGTGAGCCCTGGTAGGGGTTGGGGCGGGAGAGGAAGCAAATGAGTTCAGATTTAGTCTTATTGATTTATGGGCACGTGAGACAATTCATGTTATGAATATTCATCCCCCTCCCCAGGGACAGTTTAGTTTGAGAAGAGGAAAGCCAAGAATAGAATCCTGGGAAAATGTGAATATCTAATGTTTGACCAATAAAGACCGAGAGAGAACGTGCTGAAGCATAGAAGGACTATCGGGAGGCAGTGATGTTAGAAAAAGCCCGTGGAAGAGAGTTTCAAGACGGCAGTGGTTAAACATCAAATGCTGTGGAGAGGCCAAGTCAAAGAAGAAATGTAAAGCTTCTATTGAACTGGTTGAGGGGCGGGTCATTTGGTCACACGGATGGGAGTGGTTGCAGCGGAGGGTGGCATGCATTAGGCTGCACGGCAAATGCCAAGTGGGAAGGCAGAGAGAGCCAGCGCGAATGACTTTTCCTAAAAGCTTGGCTGTTCAAAGAAGGAGCAGACATACAGCAAACAAGAATGTTCACACCCGAAGAGGGAGTTTTGGTTTGTTGCTGTTGATCTTTTGCTTTATTTTCAAAGTGGGTTTCAAGTGTGTCTATACGAAGAGGAGAGAATTGTTAGGACCGGAAATAGAAATTTCAGGAGCGAGAGGAAATAAGTGATGGAGCGTGACTGCTGAGTAAACGGAAGGTGTGGGATGGGGGGAAACCAGAGTGCAGATGAAAAGACCAGCGTTGAATGGGGACAGGAATTTTATGGAAGTAGGTGTGGGCAGGAAGTTCACATATTTCAAGCCCAGATATGACTATTTTCTCAGGGAAATTGAAGGTAAGGTCATATGCTATGAGTAAGAGTTTAGAAAGGTTTGGAGGGGCTTCTCTAGAAAAAGAGACTTGAAACTGAACAGGACCTGTAGATTACTAGGCAGTAAATAGTGCCTACCAGAGATTGGAGGTCAGTTTAGAACTATTCTTAATTCCTAGATCTAGAGCATTTTCTTTAAGATAGGCAGAGAAAAGTAACTCAATTGGCCCAGGATTGATGGTTGTTAGGATATATTGGACAGAAAGATAAAGGATTTGAGGGGTCAGTAACTCACCCATTTTCTCCCTCTTGAGTTCTGAGTTTTTGAGAATGGCACGCAGTCAGGAACGACTTTAAAATGGCTGAGCAGGATCTGACAACAACTCAATCCAGAGCTTCTCATAGGCTGCTGGGGGCCTCAGGCTAAAATGTTGCTTATTCTTCCTTCCTCCCAAGTGAAGGTGTGGTTGGGTGATCAGCCAATCAGATTAACCATTTGTCTTCCCTGGGGGATGAACACTGTTTTTTTCCCCCTGTATGGAGACTCACTTGGGGATGGGAGGGGGGTGCATTTAAGAGTTTCTCCCCAACAAGGATCTAGAGTTTAGTTTGAAAGTGGGTTCCAAAATGTAAGATTTGAAGGATGGAGTAATTTCAGGTGAAAACAAGGCCTAGGGTGTTGGAGTAAGTGAAGGTAAAGGGAATTGAAAAGCTTGGGTTTGGGAGGGGTTATTCAGCTCCTTTGTGCAGCTCTTTCTTGGACCTCCAGCTGCATGCGGTGTCTCCCATTGTACCTTTTATAGGTCTTATCATATTCTGCCTTACGTTTAGTTAAGTAGTTCTGTTTTTATAACCTCCTCGAGGACCGACACTCATTATGTTTTTATCTCCTAGTACTTTATCCATAAGAATTTGTTGATTTTAATTAATAAGATGAAAGTTTATTTTAGGCATGAGAAGACTTTCTGTTGAAATATTCTGAAGAAATTTCTTCACTCAGCCAAACAGCATTTCTAAAGTTTTGTTGGACTAGAAACATGGAGACTAAAATGTTAGGCAGGTTGCTTAGAGTATTATAGGAAATCAATTTGGTAGAACTTTCCAGGGTATAAAATGGGATAAGAGAGATGTTTTCAACCAGTAATTGATTATCTTCCCTATCTTTAAATATTTAAATATCCCACCTTCCCGGGTTAAAGGACTGCTACTAATGCTGTTATTTTGGTCAGCTCGTGTCAGAGGTTAATGGTGTAGTTTGGTCGTGTTAACGGCTGGGGAATCCAGCAGTGGCCAAATTCTGCTTTGTTATAGTCACGCCTCCTTTTCTTGAAGTCCCTAAGGATGAAATATTGACAAGAGACAACAGAAAATGGAAAAAAATCTACCGTTAGTAAACAGAAAGTGGAAAAGCTGTGCTTCAACCAAAAAACCACTGTCAAACTCTCTAGTAAAATGGGTTCTAGAGAGAATGTTCCAGAGAGCAGGGTGGAAACTGACCTAACCTGGGAAGTCAGTGTCCTTTCGGCCACATTGTGTTGGTTAGGAACAAGTCCCTGAGGCTGGCGGAGCTTCAAGAGAAGGGCACACGGACACACGGACAAGAGTGATGCCAAACGATTTGCACACGTGGTAGAGACCTGCCTCCATGCGGGTTACTTTTCCTTTTTTGCACAGCTCTGTGCTCCCATCCCTGGAGTTAATAATTGTCTTGTCTTTTTGGTTTTTTGGTTGTCTCAGTCGCCTCGGATATTGTATTAATTTTCTGTTCTTTTGTAACAAATTATCACAGACTTAGTGGCTTAAAACAATGTCCATTTATTCTGGTAAAGTTTCTGTTGGTCTCACAGCATAGCTGGCTTCCTCTGCTGCCAGTCTCACAATGTTGAAATAAATAGCTATCATAAATTAAAAATATATATATATATATATATACATAAATATATACTTTTAAATTACCCTAAATCGGGCTAATTTTGACCAAAATTTGAATTTAGGGGCTTACAAATATCTTCTGCAATAAGCAACAGTAACAACAACAAAACCTACTAACAAGGAAAGCATTTTCTGTGACGTTAGGTGTCAGCGATGCGATCAGGCGATGGAAAAGAACAATTTCTGACAGCCTTATTGGCACTTTCTGAGTCTTTCAGTTAATGTTCATCATTAATTTATTTGTAGTTTAAGTGCTACCATGGCATATTCTGTGACTGTGGAATCAATGAAACGATCTTAATTTGGGGGCTCATTTTTAATTGTTCATTTTCTTTTTCATTTTATTGACATCTGCATGGTGTTTTGGAGTTTTATTTTCACTTTAGTATTTTTATCTTTACTACGCCTCTGTGCTGTATGTGAATATGCTCTTCTTACATTAGGCTGGAGAGAAGACTTGATTTCCCTTTGGTCACGCTGCTGACTCTAGGAACAGATCAGAAATCTGGTATTTAACCTAGGGCTCTCTCCTGTCATGCAGAGTTCTTTCCATCTGGATAGTCTTTGCCTCTGTTCTCTTTCTTCTCACATATTCTGCTCTCTTTGTTTCTTTCTCCCTAATCTGGCAGGTACATCCCCAGTTTTTTTGGATTTTTCCAATTGCAGAGTTTAGACTATAAAGACCAGCAGCCAGGGTTTGGGTCAGGGCTCAGCCATGTCTGGTTAGCTGACGTTGGTCACATTAGTTAACTGCTCAGTCTCAGTGTTCCCACCTTTAATTAAGGTCAATAATGATACCTGCTTTGATAGTTTAGGAGGATTAGATGAAATGTGACAGTGCACCAAAATGCTTGGCACAGTGATGAGCATGGACAGTTTAATAACTGTTAGTGGCTTTTATTATCATGAACTTACCACTCCCTTCACAAGTGACAGTATTGCTTTTGAAGTTTGGGGCTTTTGAAGGAGAATATGGATGAACTTTACCTTGAGGAAACATTTGTCCTTTTTATCTCAGAGGTGTACTGAAGATTTATTTCCACTTTACTCTCCTATTAATACACATTATTGGAAAAAGCAACCTTTCTGGCATGAATGAAAATACAGTTGTTCCTTGTTAGGTACATGTTATGTGCTAAAGAAGAGCTTTTTAATGATTTGAAAGCCATCACAATTTT